AACTAGGTATTTTGGCTTTGATTGAAAATAAACAAGTACATATTTTACAATTTTTGTAAATTTTACCCCCGAAGCGGTAAAATAGGGGTTAATAGTTTGTATGAAAGGCCGTTATTTTTCAAGTTATGTATATGAACTTGGTATTTTGGCTTTCGATTAAAAACAAATAAGCATGTATTTCACTTCTTCATATACTTCTGAGAAAATCATGGAGAACTATCAGGCGTTCAGGTTTCCCCACGATGTTTTTCTTCATCGTTGAGGCATGCGATATTTATTGCTTAAACGCACATAACAACTTCGAAAAGTCAGAGGTGCGTGCCCGAAATCTAAGTCGCGAGCCCCTAGACTGCGTGGGCTGCACATAAATGTTTAATTATATACGTACACATACGAAAAACATTTCCCTCTTCAATCAATTCAATTCAATCAGGTAAAAACGGTTTGCATAATATTGTTTACATTGATTACATATTTTATGCAAACGATTCGAAGAAACTGGAGTAACCTTTAAATTCAATATTATTGTCTTGGGTAATAGGTATAATTATTATATTTTACTGTGTCTTAGTTTCTATTTACTATTGGATTTGTAGATTTTTCATTGCTTAAGGATTAAGAATTATTCATAAACTATTTTAAATTCAATATTTTTATCTTAGGTAATAAGTATACGTATACATTTTATTTTATTGGGTGTTAAATTCTCTTATTATTAGGGTTGTAGGTTTTTAATTATTTTAGGATTAGCAGTTATTCTTATACTATAATTATTATATTACTATTGTGTGCTAGCTTCTCTTTACTAATATGGCTGTAGGAATGTTATGCGTAAACATCGCAATGATGCTACATACTATCGTACCAATTATTTTGACGGAGTTTGCTTACTCCGAGTCATAGCATACATATTATATGATACTCAAGTATGGTTCGGTAGATATGTGAGGAAATAGTCGACCACGTGATAGAGTACTGGCACGAGTTTTCCATTATGTATTACGACAGAGATGGGAATAATTTTAACATTTATACTAATTACTATGCCGAAATGTCAACCTTATACATATAGTAGTTTGTGCGAATTAGTGGCTGTTGGCAGATTTTTCCTTGTGTTTTGTCATAATGGTATTTTATACAAGAAATTTAGTGAAGAACAAAACCCTGTACATAAATTACGCTTTAGTACTTCGCATGATCTCTCTAATAGACATTTCGACGTTTACCTTCCTGTAGATATGTTGAATTCAGTTTTAACTTTTCAGATTAAAAGCTCTTCTACTTATCAAATTGAAAGTTCTTCTACTTTTTAGAAAAGTTAACGTTGCCAGGCTAGATATACTAATAAAACTAGAAAAATAGTAGCTCAAATATTCCAGTATTAAGTACAAGAAATGTAATCCGGATGTTCATCGTAGCGCTGTCCTGGCTTATCTACGCAAAAATACAATTATACATATTGCTGCAGTCATGACTTACCAGCGAAATAATCCGGAGTGTCACCCTACTGCTGTCATGACTTTCCAGTAAAATAACCCTGACTCTCACTCAAAAACGGTTCTGCGGTGGCATATTATCAACATAGTAATTCAGAAATTCATATAGCAGCTGTTTCAAGGTATGAAAGGAACAATCTAGGAAGACGATCAGAAAGACGATTATGTCCATGGAGAGTAAAAGCTTTATCTAGGCTGATGTATGATCCTGAAATAGCTTCTGAAACTGGTTGGTTTGTTTCTGGATTTCGCGAGGACGAAATCTGGTTAAACAATTGCAAGCATTGTTGCATGACAATAATTCCTATATAATGGACCTAAAACAACTCTTCAAAAGATATCTGAAGGTAACGATAAGTTGGAAGTGGTTATTCATGTTGATAGAAAACCAACCCATGCTCATATAGGACACTTTAATGCTCCAACAGCGGGTGAAGTTGCTATGGTCATAGTTAGACAATAATTTGAAAAGCAAGACATCGTATTACAAAGTCACGATTACGTCGTATCGGTGAGTTAAACCGCTCATACGATAGCTTGCAATACTCACTTATTTTTTGCTATGGTGAGGATGGTTACTCTATTGATATACATCAATATTTTTTATAGGATAGGGTTACAAACGAGCTCACAATCCACCTGATGGTAAGTGTTTGCCTTGGCCCACAGACATCTACATCCTTGATTACGAATCAAAATGCAGATGCGTTGTCATCCGTGAGGACTAAGATGGAATGCGTCGTTTCTAATAAAAAGGGTGTCCGGTCCTCTACACTCATCATACGAAACACAGCAGCATTAAGCTACTATTTTACGCTGGTAGTCTGTGAGAGCGTGGTTCTTCCCCGATCGAGTCGACCCATTCGTGCTATAACTACACTACTAATATAACTGTAGCATATGGCTCTACCACGTACAATATGATCCTAAGACATAAAAATATCTCCAGAAAACTGTGTTGGCACAAAATTTTTATTCTTACCGCATTATGGTCAGACATGTAAACGAAAATCGGTTGCTGTACTATCGTACTTTTTAGTCAATATTTAGTTGATATGTACGCAAATTTTGAAACAATAAGTTTAAATTACATAAGGAACAACCAAGCGCAGCTTAGATCAGATAGTTATCCACATTTGAAAGATAAAATAGGAAGGCAGGACACAAATATTGCTCAACTTGGTTCTACTACCTTCGTCTTCTACTGGATCACCTCGATATATGTACGAAAAGACTCAGGATGCAATGACCTACGTCCGCCATTACGGTCGCCCTGATCTTTTTATTACACTAACATTCAATCCTCGATGGAAAGATATTGCAGATGCATTGCTGCCTGATCAGAAACCACAAGATCAACATTATAGCGCGGGTATTTCATTCAAAAGTTAAAGTATTATTCGCAGTACTAAAAATTACATTGGCACTACTACTAAAAAAGGGAAATTTGTTTGGAAACATTCGTTGAAGCATTCTGTCGAATGGCAGAAGCGAGGTCACCTCATATCCATATTTTGCTATTTCTAGAGCAGCGCATTTCTCCTGCCAATATAGATAACTTCACCTGTGCCAAAATACCGGATTCTGAAGAAGATCCTGACCTTTATGAAAATATCAAAGCCAATATGATCAATTGACCCTGGGGGAATTTTTTACAACGAATTTCCATTATATGTTGACATCAATGGTGTAACCCTAGACAACCGATGGGTGGTACCTTATAATACAGTTTTATCACGGACTTTTGCTATTCATATAAACATAGAATATTGTAGCTCCGTAAAATAAATTAACTATATACGTGTATAAAGGATCCGACCAGGCATCATTTTTTCTTGAAAATGATAATGATGAAGTAAAATTATACGAAAGTGGTCGCTATATAAGCAGCTCTGAAGCTGTCTGGAGGATTCTGGTGTTTCTCATTCACAACAGATTTCCAGCAGTTTTTCATCTTGCAATGCATTTGGAAAATGACCGGCGTGTGTATTTCAATCCCAATACCAACAATGTAGCTGACAAAGTAAACAACTCAAAAAAAACTACTCTAGTAGCATTTTTGATCTTTGCAAAATTTTGCAAAAGAGTGTGGAAAAGTAACAAATGTGAAAGGCGTACACGTGGAAGCAACGTCTATGGTTGGCCGGAAGTAAAAAAGGATCAAAATCTGGGCAGAGTGTATACAGTACACCCTAATAACTCTGAATGTTATTATTTGCGTTTTCTTTTTCATGGAATTCGAGTATAAACATTATTCACAGATTTAAAAACTGTTGATAATGTCATATATCCCACATAACAGTCAGCGTGTAAAGCACTAGGTTTGCTTGAAGATGATAAACCCTGAGATGCTACTATGGAAGAAGCTGCTCTTTGTGATAGTCCTTTACGAGGTATTGCGTTTTGTAAATTGACAGAAGTAAAGCCCATAAGAAAAAAATGGTAAATTGATGGGTGGTGTTACAGTTATTGTAGCCGGAGACTTTCGACAAACTTTACCGGTAGTACCAAGGGGAACATGAGCCGATGAAATAAGGTCATGTATAAAGTCTTCATATTTGTGGCCTCGTATTCAGAAGCCCGCCCTTAACTCTTTCAGTCTTGGTGGTTATTTCACTAACCACATGTTTCAAAGCATGCTTGACAAGACGCAACCATTTGTCGGTATATTTAATGAATGACAGTTCATTTGTGCTAAATTGAATATTGTCCTAACGTACTTTTATTTGCGTGCTTGATAAAAAAAGTGTGTAACGGATAATAAAGCTTTTTTCTTTAATGTTTTTTACTCAATATATTCTCATACATCTATTTTATACACGTTTACATAAAAATACTATTACTTTTGAGTTTTTAATGTGTATTCACAACGAAAATATAGTGGTTAGTTAACTAACCACCGTGACTGCTGACTGAAGCTTTTGCATGTAAGCTTTAAGCTGGGTATCCATTTGAGGCAGCCTCGGGCCGAGCGGCTGCCTCGACCCGAGGTAGATCTAGTCGAGAACGTGCCGCGAGTCAAGGCTTGCCGCGATTTGAACCAAACGAGGTGGCCGCGCAGCGAGCCAAATCGTGTCGGTAAATGGCCATGCTCAAAGACGCCTCAGTGTGAGGCGTGCGTTCATTGGAGATGGACTTACGTGTGCTCGGCACGCGGCAAAATGGATAATGAGAAATGTATCGAATTAATTAAGTTATACGAAAACCATCGACATTTGTGGGATCCAACTTCACCGCATCATTATAATAAACAATTGAAAGAAGATTCTTGGAAAATAATAAGCAAAGAAATGAAACTAACCATTTCCGAAGTAAAAAAAATTACTTCGCTTTGTGGATGGATCTTTTCGGAGGGAAAAATCTCGACATAAAAAAAGTCTCGTCACCGGATCAGGTAAAAATTCATTGGTTTTTGAAAATAAGTTGTTTTTTGTCATTTATTTTATACTCATTTTACTCATGTGTGTAGTGTACCTCTAAAAATGATTTTTATTCTAGGTCGTAATGAGGTGTACATATCACTTTTACTTCTTGGCTGACAAGTTCTCTCCCCGTGAGACTCAAAACTCAATGTCTATCGACACATCGTCGCCCTCTGCAGCAAAGACACAACAAATTCAGAACCATCGCCTTCTGTAAGTATCTGGTTTCAGTAAGCTTTGGGCTAAAGGCGGAAATATATTTACGTGTCCTGGCGTGTCGTGATGCTTATTGTCGTGACGGTGAGTGTGCACACTTATGTGTCGTGTCGTGGCGTGCTCTGGCGTTATTTCTTTCATTTCAGAACAGAACCTCGCAGTGATTAAACGTACATAACCTTTTCTTCTGATTCGGATAGTGATTAGTGCTAATTATATTTTATATCTAATATCTATGTTGCCATGTTATTTGTCCATTTGTAACGGTGTGGCCAAGTGTGGACCGAATTGCTTTTGCGTCATTTGCAGACCTTCGAGGAATTGCACGTAAAGGCGCAAAAGAAGTCGAATATGGTTCATTCCTCCACGACTCTTGTACGAAATTTCCATCGATTTCAGAGTCCAAACTTCCTGGTGGTGAATAAATATTTGCCCTTGTTTTTCGTAAAAATTTATGCAAATAAACAGTAGCCAGTACCACTTTCGTAGCAATTTCTGGTTCCAATAACATTGGTTTTCTTAACACTTTAAATACAGAACTCATGATGCCAAAAGCATTTTATACTAACCTTCGTGCTCTAGATAGACGGTAATTGAATATTCTTTCCGGAGAACCATTGTCTGAGGTTCCTTCAAACGATTTCATAGTATAATTGCTTAAAGCAAATGCCTTGTCAGCTAATATAACATAGGTCACTTTAATCAAATATGGTGTCTGTAATATACAGGCTGCTGGTAACTTTAATTCATTATTTTCCAAGATTATGCAATATTTTTAAAGACTCCACCATCGGATATGCGTCCTTGAGATCCAACGTCTACATACATAAAATTGTAATTAGCATCCACCAAGCCAAGCAATACGATGCTGGGAATTTTTTTATAATTTATGTATTCTCCGTGACTATTAATTGGTGATTGAAGAATAATATGGATGATGTTTCCCAATGAGAAAATGCCACTGGTTTCAAATCTTGTCTTTTAATCATTCTTTTGATGATGGTATCTGAAAATTATGTCACATATTTTACTATTAACTATCGTACTGCTAAAACATTATTTGATGATTTTATTTATTTTAATTTACTAGAATGAAGAATTATTCGAAGAAAATGAATCGTAGCTTGAAACTACTTCTTCCGAGCGATCATCTTTGCCCCGCGATGGTCAACAACAGACGCAGCCCGAAACTTCAAGATCAAATAAAAGAAAAATGACTGATGCTTGTGAAGATAATATAGATCTAGATAAAGCTATGGAAGTGTTAAATTATACAGATGATAGTTATGATACGTTTGGTAAGCATATTACTGCAGAACTTAGAAAATATGATCCAATTACTGTAGCACACGTTAAAAAAGCTCCTTCCTTGCCCTAAAACCCTATCAGAAATGAGAGGAGGCCTGTGCCCACAGCAGTGGGACGTATATAGGCTGTAACTTTACTGTAGCACACGTTAAAAAAGCTATAATGTATATCTTATTTCAAGCTGATACCGGGATGTTACCAGGTACACGACAACAAGGTAACTTTGTACTTTACTAAAATTTTGATTAATAAAGCATTTTTAACATACCTGAACATATTCTTTGAGCACTTTTACCAAGGCATCACATGTTTCGCGAACAATTTTTGAAAGGCACGAATCACCACTTGCTAAAAACCTCAGGGTAATGGCCAATCGTTCTTTTGTTGTGATTGCTTTGCGAAACGATGTATCTTTTTTTCCAATTATTGGTTCAAGCTTGATACATAGATCTTCAAAGGTTTCAGAGTTCAATCTGGTAAAATTTTTAATAGTTTCTTCTACGCCTTCAAAGGTATATTGAAAAATTGTTTTGCATGAACATTTCGCTGACGATATATTTCCTTAATCCACCATCGATGTTTCCGTTTCTTATGTTGCTTCCTTTTGTAGTGACTAATTACTACTAATGCTGCAGCGACTTTACGTGCGTCAACCATGGTGGTTAATGAGGAATTGAGAAAATCGTGGCTCGGGTTGAGGCTTGCCGCTCGATTTATGTGTGCTCAAGTGGAGACGCATGTACTTTCCGCAGCCCGCGGGGGAGGAGGAAGCTGGGGCTAGCTTAAGTGTCTTTTACGTATTTTTACAGTATGTCGCGGCGGCTAAAAGATAGAAAAATTGCAGAATACTTGTTGGAAGATATTCTTTCAGGTAGTGAGAGTATTTGTGGAGGTGCGGATGACGAAGAAGATACAGAAAATCAACCAATCCGCTAGTGTTAGGCGATTTGATTGGGGAAGTTCAAGTTACCAATTATGACAACTCTGATTCCGATTATGATCTCCCTTTGTCCAGCTTAGTACGCCGGAATTTTGATTTAACAGAGACCAGCATCGTAAATTCAAACAGGCCGACTTCAATAGCTCCAAATGGAAGAACAATTATAGCCAGTAAGTTTTTTGAAAGTGTGGGAACAACAAACCAAATTCTTAACATTAAAAATGTTACACCTCTTTTTATTATTTTGCTTTTTATGGACAGAGCATTTACAAGACAATTTATGTTTTTAAACTAACGATTACGCTTCTCAATCCGGAAAGTCTTATATATCTACCACAACAGAAGAACTTGATGTTTTCATTGCCTATAACTTGATGATGGGTATTAAAAAATACCGAGCTACAAAGATTACTGGTCTACAGCGCCTGATTTGCATGACATCTATGTTTCAAAATTCGGGAGCTTTTTTCCCGAATTTTGTTTTGAACTCAAAATTATTGATTCAGTTGGTTTTTGAATTCTTCTCCAGGACCTGCATTTATAAAACGACACAAGCCTACAGTCCTTCAAGAAATTCGTCTAGAAACCTCCAGTCTCCAGTGCGTACTGTATGGCAATGCAATACATATAAGGTGCCACTTTGCCTATGCAAAGGTAAACATGTTTATCAGAATTTCTTAAAAAGTAATTTTTGAATTAATTTTGCCCGTGGGAAAATTCTTTATAACTTATAATGTTATTAATAATATACGAGTACATAATCATCATAGTTTTATTTGTATTAATAGTCGCCTCTTTCCTAGAAAGCCTTGACCGTTTTAAACCTTGTTTACCGAGTTCGTAGTAGAAATTGTCCTACTAAGTAAGTCCTGCTGAGCAGCGTTTGAAGGATTATTACATATCTTCTCGTCACGTATATCTTGAAACTTAGAAACAAGAGTGTTTAACGTTACATGTTGCCAATGATAATTTATCGGTTTCATACGTGGTGCTTCCTTCTGCTACTGCTGGCCGTATGAGAAAGCTCAAGGTCGTTCAGCAAACTATAGAGAGGGCTACCTGAGTGTCTTTGCGTGAAAGACTTCGTATTGATATATCGCTCGATACGCGCGGCAGAACAATAGTAACCGACATAATAAGAGATTATTAATATTTCTCTTAGTTGACATGTATAAGAAATACGGGGTGAAGGTGTTAAGTAGTCAATATGATATAAATCAATACTTTTAATAATAAATACACTTCCGACTTTTAATCAATTATTGGGGCTTTATATAAATGAAATTTAAATTTTGCATCTAATGTTCTGTCATTATCGAGAGTAACGAGGCCGCTATAAATCGACTGGCGTTCAACGCTCCCTGACCTTAGCAGCAATAAGTCAACAATATTGAAATAAACTTATTTACTAAACTTCCGTCCATTGCAGCTTTACTCATTGAGTAATTATTTCATCTAGCAATATTATTCTGTAACTCTTTTATTTGTTTTTAATTAATAATTTTAGGACAACCAACAGGACATACACGAACACAATATAAATAGCTACTAGAAATAACAGAAATGTTTATATCTAAGTGTCGCCGTAATTAAAAGTTGCCACGGCATGTAATTTGGACTACAAATATGTTTCTTTTTAATATAAATTAAATACCTAAACACTAAAATAAATACGTAAACACTCGCTCCTGTCACTCGGAGGGGTAGGCAGAGACTACAAACGTCTATTTGGCAAGATCCTGACACAACTTTCTCACCTCCTGTACATCAATATCGATACCTACGCATACATGCTCGTCGGTTAAGGGTACACTGAATTTGGCCCATTTTCGATATATCGCCAATTTGGTCGATAAACTTTTGTCTATGTAGTCCCTTTACGATTCTGCCGTTCACTTCTGGAACATTAACTTGCTTTGTCACTCTTTCCTGATTCATTCATTTTATATAATCAAACCGTCGAAGTATTATTCCTTTATTAATCCTGGCCACAAAATGATCTTGCAAGTCACACTCTTCTCTTATCACACGATTTCTCACCCTGACACTCAGATTCAGACCTAACATACTTCTTAACGACTGCATTTCTACATGTAAATACATACATAGCCGTGTTTGACACCTTTATAAATGACAAACAAGTCCAAGTAGACCCCGTTGATCGTAACACAAGCACTAGAGTCCCTATAAAGAGACTTAAATGCCTGTATCAACCCATTGCTCAGCCAAAATTAGTTCAGTGTTTGCCATAACACATCCCTGTCCACTCTCTGATAAGCCTTTTCCAAGTCCATGAATGCACAAAAAGCCTTTTGGATTTTGGCCAAAAACTCCGTGATCATGCGCATGATAAAGACTTGATCTGTATACCCCATCCCTTTTCTAAGTCCCGCTTGCACATCCTCAATTTTACATCAGTTTCTTTCATAATACTTCCAATTAGTATCTTAGCATATAGTTTTCCCACAATGCTAAAAAGGCTGATACTACGGTAGTTTTCTCAGTATTGCTGCAACCGTTTTCCTTTATATATTGGGAAGTTCACGCTTCAGTTCGCAACATAAATTAAATAAGTTGTACAGCAGGCCTGCCACCACTTTCTCTCCAGCCCTTAACATTTCGAGTGATATTCTATCATATATAGCCTTACCTGCTTTTCATTGCTTTCATTATTTCATCTATACTTATTTCCCTATACCTTTCCTCTTCTTTCGGAATTTCTATTTCATTTAGATCACACGTCTCATCAGTCTCAAAACACGCTTTTAAAATATTCCTTCCATCTCTTTAAACTCAAAACTTCATCATTCAGAATACAGCCATTCTCGTCTCGTATACGATTCATTCTAGGCTGTTTTGATTGTACCCTGGGAGTCCTTACGAGTTTACCAGAACATTTTAATATTTTCCTGAAAGTTATACGATATTCTTATCTGTTCTGTCTTGCTTTTTCCTTTCAACTATTTTTTTTACTCTCTTATTTAGACGTCTAAAAACTGCCTTTTTTCTTTTAATATCAATTCAATTCGTGCCAGAATTTCCAGTCTTGGGTGCTAGTAAACTCCGCCATATTCTCTTCTTTACTTCAACGTTCCTATGTACCTCATCATCCTACCATAACTTTATTTTTCCTTTCATACGTTCTATTATTAACACCAAATACTTCGGTAGCTGCATCCACCTAACCTTTCTTAACATTATGTCATATATTCTCCAAGTCTAACTCATTCATATACAATTCAATCAAACCACTTATATTTTCTCTCAGTCTACATTTCATTCATTTCATTGTATTTTTTTTCACACCTTCATCTTATAACCTCACTGTTCTGTCTACCTGATGGTAAGTGGATGTTGTGGCCCATAGACATCTACATTTATCCTCGATTAAGAATCAAATGTAGAAGCGTTGTCATCTTTGAGGACTCAGCTTGAATACCTCGTTTCCGGTTAAACTGGAAGTGGATCGTGGATCTCCAGTTCTCTACACTCACCATATGAAACACAGCAGCATTAAGCTGCTATTTTACGCTGGTATTCTGTGAGAGCGTGGTCCCACCTCGGTCGAGCCGACATATACGTGCTACAACCACATAAGATAGCTGCAGCGTGGCTCTACCACGTAAAAGTGGTAGAGATTATAGTTCTGAATATAGAGTAAGATCAATATATTAGAGTAGTACATTTTATATGCATTACTCTAATATTAAGAAGTACAGACAGATCATAAAATCAATTTTCTAATCTGAGAGTGCATTAAACAATAGGCTCAGTGTAGTCCTAAATCCAGCCCGTAGACCACCGCCAAGGCCTAGTCACACAGACTGGAATTCTGAAAATTATTTTAATGTTAATGTGCAACCTACACAGTTGTGAAACAACACTGCATACTTTAAACAAAACAGTCCAATAAAGTTTTTTCTCTGCTTTGTAAAGGCGAATGAAACAGAAACAGAAACTTTTTATTCA